TCTGAGGGTTAGACTGTATCATGATTCGGTTCCGCCTTTACTTGAAACTGGACAGTATCCCAATGAGGATAGGGACTCAGGGACTGTTTCATGAAGGTCAACCGTGAACTGTACTGCAATTGTACATGGCACCTGACTGAGGCTTTTGCAAACTTGTGACTATCCTCGATAATGGAAGTTGGCGGTTGATCATGGTAGCATGCCATCAATAGTGTTCAATAATGGTGTAGTGTACGCACAGCAGACTCGTCACACAGCAACAGAATCAATTGAACCAAACATGCAAACCTCGGTTAGCCTTTTCTGGGCTGGAGAGTCCAATTATTGAGTCAGACAACAAGCGTTGATTAAGGGAAGAGACCAAGGAGCGGTGATGGACCCCTTGCGTATCAAGTCAAGCATTGGAAAGGGGTGACACTGCAGCTTCGGCGCAGTCAGCCCAAAAGGGTGGTGTACAGACATGAGAAATTTCTGCTTCGGAATGGATCACAAGTATGTGACATTATTCGCAAAGCAATGGAAAAGCATTCTTCATAGTAGTATCGAGATATGTACTCGGTACTTTGTGCAAGAAGCGCCTGCTCGGTGACCCTGTGATTTACCCGAGAGGGCGATCAAGAGGAACTAGGAATAGTACAGGCTGATTAGATTAACATTAATAATAGCGCCAAACGGCCCAAACCACAACCATTGCCGCTGATTGATTGTGTTTTAACTCTTTATGGATTATGGACCTCTAGCCAAGACTTTCCGGCTGTTTCTTTCAGTTGCCCTCAAGAAATAATATCGAAGAAGGAAGGGATGAAATGATATGCCCTTATCGGGCTTCCGACCACATCCGTCCCTGTGCTCCGTTCGTTGGTCTTTTCTCCGCTATTTATCTTTGACGTCAACCCAGCTCGCAGTAGGCGCCGGCACCTGGTCTCTCTTTTCATAACTCTGTGGTCTCTTTTCCATAACCGACCCTCATGCGGTAACACGCTGCAGTACAAGCTTCCGTTGCGTAGCTTTAAGTCAAACCCCGCGCGATGGCGGCCTCCGATCTTGTACGCGCCCACGATAGTGGCTCCGCTGTCAGATCCCCGGCGCATATGGCGACCACAACAGTCAAGGTGGATGGAATGACATGCGGGGCATGTACTTCTGCTGTTGAAGGCGCCTTCAAGGGTCTGGAAGGTGTAGGAGAGGTGTCAGTTAGCTTGATGATGGGCCGAGCCGTCGTTCATCATGATCCGACCATAATCCCTGCGGAAACAATAGCCGAAAAAATCGAAGACTCTGGTTTTGATGCTGAGATCATCTCCACTGACGGCCCGTCGATACAAGCCGATATCCCCAGAGATGCGCAGGATCCGACGCCGCGATTCTCGACCACGACGTTGGCGGTGGAAGGGATGACGTGTGGTGCCTGTACGTCTGCTGTGGAAGGAGGACTCAAAGAAGTCAAAGGCGTCAAATCGATCAACGTCTCATTGCTATCAGAACGGGCAGTGGTGGAGCACGATGCTTCTGTGATCACGCCTGAACAGCTCGCGGACATTATCGAGGATCGTGGCTTCGGCGCGACGGTGCTGGAAACCTCAACGCCGCAGGACGGTCCTCGTGGTTCGCGGGAAGATGCGGACGCTAAACCTCGCCTCATGACCACAACCGTCTCTATAGATGGCATGACATGCGGCGCTTGTACATCCAGCGTCCAGAGTGCCTTCGATGGTGTTGATGGTGTGGTTCAGTTCAACATTAGCCTACTTGCTGAGCGCGCTATCATCGTCCATGACCCTGCTGTTCTCTCAGCCCAACAAATCACCACAATTATCGAAGATGCGGGTTTTGATGCAGTTATCATTTCTTCAGAGCCTAAACTGTCTACCTCTAGCTCTATGAACAGCGTAACCCTGAGTTTACACGGCTTGCGCGATGTAGTCGCGGCGAATGTCCTAGAAGACTCCCTTCTCCGGAGACCGGGGGTCTACTCGGCGTCCATCAATATGGGCACATACAAGCTTGCAGTTTCGTATGATTCCGCGAAAATTGGGATTCGTACCATTGTCGAGGCGATTGAGGCTGCCGGCTACAACGCCTTGCTGTCTGAGTCGGACGACACCAACGCCCAACTGGAATCTCTTTCCAAAACCAAGGAGGTCCAAGAGTGGCGACGTGCGTTCTTATTCTCTCTCTCATTCGCGGTGCCCGTCTTTGTCCTCAACATGTTGCTTCCCATGTATCTACCGATGCTCGACTTCGGCAAGCTCCCATTATGCGCAGGCGTGTACCTCGGAGACGTGCTATGTTTGTTGCTCACCATCCCTGTACAGTTCGGTATTGGAAAGCGATTCTACGTGAGCAGCTACAAATCACTCAAGCATCGCTCACCGACTATGGATGTTCTTGTCATGCTGGGCACATCTACGGCTTTCTTCTACAGTGTCTTCATCATGCTCGTGGCCATGTTCTCAATGGCCGACAAACGGCCCAGCACCGTGTTCGATACCAGCACCATGCTCATCACCTTCATTACACTCGGAAGGTGGCTAGAGAATCGGGCTAAAGGTCAAACGTCAGCCGCTCTCTCGCGACTCATGTGCCTGGCCCCGTCTACGACGACGATTTATGATGATCCCATTGCCGCTGAGAAGCTCGCCGAGGAATGGGAAACCGCCAAAGTTTACCCCGAGGAGAAGAAGCCGGCATCATCAAGCGCAGAAAGATCTGGTCCGGGTCACAGAGTGATCCCAACTGAGCTCGTTGAAATAGGCGACATAGTTGTCCTTCACCCCGGAGACAAAGTTTCTGCAGACGGAGTTGTCATTCGAGGCGAAGGTTACGTGGACGAGAGCATGATCACTGGTGAAGCGCTACCCATTCGTAAAAAGAAGGGCAGTACCGTCATTGCTGGAACTGTGAACGGCACTAGTTCGATTGACTTCAAGGTCACCCGAACCGGCAAGGACACTCAGCTCAGCCAGATTGTGAAATTGGTTCAGGACGCGCAGACAAGCCGGGCTTCTATCCAGCGGGTGGCGGATATCGTCGCTGGCTACTTCGTTCCGGCCATCGTCAGTCTCGGTCTCATCACGTTCTTTGGTTGGATGTTCGTTAGCCACGTTTTGTCCCATCCGCCGAAGATCTTCGTTGCCGAAGGCAGTGGCGGAAAAGTCATGGTTTGCCTGAAGCTGTGCATCTCTGTCATCGTCTTTGCTTGTCCGTGTGCATTGGGCCTCAGCACTCCAACAGCCGTCATGGTTGGTACTGGCGTTGGTGCGCAGCAGGGCATTCTAGTCAAGGGTGGTGCTGTGCTTGAAGGCGCGACTAAAATCAACCACGTTGTCTTTGACAAGACTGGCACCCTGACTACGGGGAAGATGACTGTTGCAGAGGCCAGAATTGAACGCCAGTGGGCCTCCAATGAAGGGCGTCATCGACTTTGGTGGTTGATCGTGGGTCTCGCGGAGATGAACAGTGAGCACCCTATCGGCAAGGCCATCTTCTCAGCAGCAAAGGCGGAATCAGGCCACTTCGAGGGCGACGGACTACCAGGCAGCTTGGGTGACTTCAATGCCCATGTTGGTAAGGGAATATCTGCATTGATTGAGCCCGCGTTCAATGGAGAACGGACAAGGTATCGTGTTGTGATTGGCAACGCCGCTTTCTTGCAGTCTCAGGGTGTATCGATTCCTGAAACTGTTGAAGCTGAAGATCAGCCCAGCGGCAGCGCGAAGCCTACCGCTGGCATCACGCAGATTCATGTGGCCATCGATCACCAGTTCTCCGGAACCATCTTCCTCCGCGACACTGTGAAATCGACTGCCGTGGCTACGATCGCTGCCTTGCATCGCATGGGGCTCAAAAGTTCGCTCGTCACTGGAGATACCCTGTCTGCTGCCTTGTCCCTCGCTTCGGCTGTTGGTATACCCTCTGAGTCCGTTCACGCCTCTGCCTCCCCGTCCGACAAACAATCCATAATCGCTTCGATGCAAGAATCCGGTGACCGCGTCGCCATGGTAGGCGATGGAATCAATGATTCCCCGGCGCTGGCAACCGCATCAATCGGGATCGCTCTGGCTTCGGGAACCGAMGTCGCCATGGAAGCCGCCGACATCGTGCTCATGCGGCCAGATGATCTCCTATCCGTCCCCGCCAGTCTGTCGCTCTCCCGCGCAGTCTTCAGACGCATCAAGCTCAATCTCATGTGGGCCTGCCTCTACAACGTCATCGGCCTTCCATTCGCCATGGGTCTCTTCCTGCCCTTTGGCGGCTTCATGCTTCCGCCCATGGCCTCAGGCGCGGCAATGGCAGCATCAAGCGTCTCCGTCGTCGTCAGCAGCCTGCTCCTGAACTTCTGGAAACGTCCAAGATGGATGGACGCCGAGAAGCTGGAGAAGGAAGCCCAGCTCGGCGCTAGCTCCCACGCCTCCCGGAAAAGCTTGTGGGCGGCTGCTCTCTCTGTCTCTGGTCCCGGCAGTCGTACAGGCCTGTTGGGTTGGGCCAGGCGGACAGGCGCGAGAGTCTGGTCGACTGTTACCGGACGGAGTTCGAGAATAGTAGACACCAACGACGGCTATGTCCCGCTACAGGCGGTAGAGCCTGTCGGTTAATCACCTCTGTTCCCCTGCTTGCATGTTTTTCCGTGGTTCGTCTCACGTGCATTGTTCATAGCTAGGATTCGGCTTATGAAGTACCTGGTTGGATGTTTCTTCTTACGCCTATTAATGAATGGGATAGATATGTGGTTTTCGGGGGGTTTTACAGATGTTCATTGATACGTAATCTTTACGACTGCATCCCTAGTATAATGCAAAAATCCAAAAGATACGAAGCAGCAGTACTTGAATCCATGGAATAGTCCTGTAGTCACACGTAGGTAGTCGAGTCGCTTCATATCATTCATCATTGAAGGCCAATAGTCAATATATGACCTGTAGACTGTCGCTCATAGATTTCCTGATCATCATTATATGAAACAATGCAAGCCCAAGAAACACAACCAAGGCAAACAGCGTCTAAACATCCTTGTCCTCTGTCGCCTGGGGAGTTTCAGTAGCTTCTGCCGCCGCCGCTGTTGCTGTTGCGGCAGGAGCCGATTCCCCCGCCTCTTTCGCATCGTCAAGCTGGATATCCCCGTCGCTGTCTGCATTAGCCCGAGACGCCGGCTCTCGGTTCTCCGTTTGTTCCTCAGCAGTGGAACTAGGTTGTTCGGCCTGTGCTGGCGACTGAGTAGCAAGCGCGTTTGCGTCCTGTGCCAGAGTCATCTGGACTCCCTTGCCGTCCTGCAGGCCCATATCCTCTACTCCTAGGATCGGCGGCCCACGAGCGTGGGGGATCTCCTCGGACGAATCGGCTGGCGGGGGGCTAGTGCCACCCATAGTCTCGTTTTGCGCTGTCATTTCTGAAGATTGGCCTTGTGCTGTCGGTTCCGAAGCGGTGTCGCTCTGAACCTGCTCTGAGTGTGGTGCTTGCGCGACCAATGATAATGAGTCACCAGAAACTAGACCTACGAGGAACGACTGTCAATATGGAATGTATGGAGACGAGTAAGTGAGAGCGTTACCTTCACTGAGTGTAGCTCCACCGTCGTTGCCGGGGGAAGATGCGCCAGTCAACCAAGGGATCGGCGTGAGCAGGGCTCCACCCAGCGACTCATCGCTTCCTGGGGCATGATCTGGAAATATGAAACTATGCCCTCCTCCGTTCAAGACGCCATTGGCCTGACCTGCGCTGGTTTCTGTTTGAAGTGGAAATATATCAGCGGTACTTGTGACGCAAACGACTCGGTCGACGGCTCGCAGGTACGCAGGGAGGGTTCGATAGTGTGCATTAGGTCGGAGAACTAGTTCTGCCAGTCTCTGTATGGTGTGCGGAGGCTTCGACGAAAAAAATGTCTTTAATGTCGATTTGATGGAATCCAGCAATAACATAAGCGGTGGGGGGACGGTATCGGTTGAGGAATCAACGAATGACTGTGGTTTGGAGTCAGGAACTCGCTCGCCCGATGGAGGCGGTGTGGCAGCTGATGCGGGTACTGTCGACTGTGAGGGATGCTCTAACTCTGTTGGAGGAGTATTCTCTTTGTTGCTGCTCGGTGGCACTGAGTTGGGTTCTTGCGAGTACGAGGCGGGAGGGTAGGAAGATGGCCGTTGCTGAGCGGCTGGTGACTGTGTTTCGGCGTGGAATTTGGGCATGGGAAACGCATTGTGTACATTCTACTTATCTGTCAGCCCTCGTGCAAAGTGGATAGAAGGATGAGTAGACCCTGCGCACATGTTCTAATCGCTCGAGGAGAGGCTCGATCATATTGGGCCATTTGTCGCTAGACGGGTTGTTAGTATTCGATCACGATATATATAGATTGATAGATCGTTGCCCATACTAGTCCATTGGGCCGCCATTGGCGACGGTCTCTAAGCTTTCTTCATCTATAATTGCAACAAGTCAGCACAAAATTGCTCTAGCAGCTCATGATGGCATTCCCAAGCTTTGTTGCCAGGGATAAAAGACACGAACACAAAGCGCGCTCATGGGCAGATGTTCATTTTATGAGAGACGCTCTAAGCAGCTTACCTAGTGACATTTTAACCCCACGCTTCCTTCTCGTCACTCTGTTGTCGAGGTAGTCCGCAGACGCAAATTGCTTTGCTCTAGGTTAATAAATGCAATGGAATGCTATACGCGTGCGGAGCGGCTCTCCCGGCAGTCAAAGCTGGTGATTGGCTGCAGTAATCGCTTATCGGAGCATCACGTGCCGGTTATCGGGCCAATTTTTCGATGGAGTCACGAAGTTCCCCACGGCGGGCACACGGAGGGGCCTTGTTTCACTCTCCCCAGACGTTGCAAGCACTGTGGTCAGTGAATGACCTTTGAAACGGACCAATTCTAATTTCCTAGCCTCCATCATCAGTCTGTGCAAAATGTGGAACTCTCCAAAGGTGGGAGTCCTCGGTGGAGGTCAACTGGGCCGAATGCTCGTTGAGTCGGCGAACCGACTTAACATCCAAGTCAATGTTCTGGACGCAGATAACTCGCCTGCGAAGCAAATCAGTGCCCATGACGGCCATGTGACTGGCTCATTCAAGGAGCGTGAAGCTGTGCGGAAATTAGCGAAGACCTGCGACGTTGTGACGGCCGAGATCGAGCATGTCGATACCTACGCTCTTGAGGAGATCTCCTCGGAGGTCAAGATTGAGCCCAGCTGGCAAGCGATCCGAACAATCCAGAACAAATTCAACCAGAAGGAACACCTGCGGAAATATGGCATACCAATGGCGGAGCACCGGGAGCTGCTTGAGAACACACCGGCTGAACTCGCCAAAATCGGCGAGCAGCTTGGGTATCCCTTGATGCTTAAGTCGAAGACGATGGCCTACGACGGACGTGGTTAGTGATTAAGAACAGGATGGTAAAGGCTATATAATATGTTCTTGTGGCTGACAATGGACGCCAGGAAACTTCCGTGTCAATTCCAAGGACGATATCCCAGAAGCCCTTGAAGCGCTCAAGGACCGGCCATTGTACGCTGAGAAGTGGGCCTACTTCAAGATGGTTGGTCTTTTATTCACTTCATACGTGACTTCGGACCTAATACCAACGCTCATAGGAATTGGCCGTAATGGTCGTGAAGACTAAGGACGAGGTCCTCTCATACCCCACAGTCGAGACAGTACAGGAAGATTCGATATGCAAGCTCGTCTACGCACCTGCCCGCAACGTCTCCGACGCCATCAACCAGAAAGCTCAGGAGCTAGCCCGCAAGGCAGTCGCAGCCTTTGACGGCAAGGGTGCGTTCGGTGTGGAGATGTTCCTTCTCGAAGACGACAGCATCATGCTGTGCGAAATTGCCAGCCGCATCCACAATTCGGGCCACTACACGATTGAAGGATGCGCCCTGTCCCAGTTTGACGCCCACCTCCGCGCCATCCTCGATCTCCCCATTCCCCGACAGAGCCTCGAAATCCGCCAACCGTCCATCATGCTCAACATCATTGGCGGCGCCGCCCCAGACACCCACCTCAAAGCCGCCGAGGCCGCTCTCTCCATCCCCAACGCCAGCATCCACCTCTACAGCAAGGGCGCTGCCAAACCCGGCCGCAAAATGGGCCACGTCACCGTCACCGCGCCCACGATGCACGAAGCCGAGAAATACATCCAGCCCCTCATCGATGTTGTCGACGAGATCCGCTCCAAGCGCAGCGACATCAAGACGCAGCCCGCCAAGTCCGGCCCGTCGAAGCCCGCCCCCTCCGTCGCCGTGATTATGGGCTCCGACAGCGACCTCAAGACCCTCGTTCCGGGCCTGAAGCTCCTCCGCGATTACTTCGGCATCGAGCCCGCCGTCGACATCACCTCCGCCCACCGCACCCCAACATTCATGGCCGAGTATTCGGCCAGCGCCGCGGCGCGCGGCATCAAGGTCATTATCGCCGCTGCGGGCGGCGCCGCCCATCTCCCCGGGATGGCTGCCGCTTACACCGTCCTGCCCGTAATCGGTGTACCGGTCAAGGGTAGCTCGCTGGACGGTGTGGACAGCTTGTACAGCATCGTCCAGATGCCTAGAGGTATGTCGTCATCTTCCTTTCATCCTCTCTCTTGTTCCCGTGGAAGGCCCGCTAATCGGTCATCCGTACAGGTGTCCCCGTCGCGACGGTAGGAATCAACAATAGCATCAACGCTGCCCTCCTGGCGGCTCGTATCCTTGGCGCATTCGACCCTACTATCCAGCGTAAGGTGGAGGCGTATGCCGAGCAGGCTAGATACGAGAACATGGAGCTGAAGGGGACCAAGATGCAGGAACTCGGATGGGAAAAGTACTTTGAACAGATGTAACAGAATATAATAGCTAGATTGGATTACTGATGAGAATGGCTGAATGACTCTACCGACTTACGGAATATCAAGGGATGACAAAAACGAGACAGAATTAGAGATTACGTACTCGAAACTAGTCATACAGATCATAGCGTGACAGCCACAAGACATCATACACAGATACTGCAAGCATAAAACAAAAAGCGAAAACATGATATCTCAAAGCCAGTACATGCGTCATCAGTCAGAAACAAAGGAAATATTGAAGGGAGTGGGCAGGCATTTGTCCTCATAGCTAATGTTACCTTTAAGCGGTCTGTGGGTTGAAGGCCTCGGGGGTGCCTCGGACGGTAAGCACCTCAGCAGGGACCTTCGCAGCGGCCCCATTCTGATGACCGTTGGTGTGGCCGTTGGTGGTCCCGTTGCTGAAGGCGTTGTCCATCTCATCTGCGAATCCACGCGAGGGAACTCCAGTCTTTGGATATCCATCAGCGCCGACCTGACCACCTTGGGTTGCTCGACCATTGGCTCCCTCGGTGGGTCGGCCATCAGTTCTCTCTCTCAGCCGGCCCTCGGCCGTCTGGTGAGGCTTGCGTTGGATGGACGCGAGCTTGGGGATGTCCTTGGACTCAGAAGCGCTGCCGATAGAGAAGATTGGGCATTCCCAGCGCTCTCCCTTGCGTGCGAGCTCAGTGTATTCAGTAGCCTTGGTGGAGACTACTCCAGGGAGCTTGATGTCGGGGAACATCGAGTCGTGAAGAGTAGTGACTGTCTGGATCTTGGTATCACGCTGAGCAATTTCTTGAGCCTTTTGCTTCTTCTCGGTCAGCTTCGCGCGGGCAGCGTCCATGTAGCGCGAGTAGATGTTAGGAGCATTTGCAGGATCCTCCTTGGTAGCTTCCTTTGCACGCTGAACCTCTTGGTTGACTTCAAAGGCAAATGCATCACCCTTGACGAAGGCGTCATGGATCTGCTTTTCAAGCACCTTCTCCAGTGTAGGTCGAACAATGTTGAAGAGCATAGGCTTGAAGATGGCAAAGAGAATCTTGTGCTTGGACTTCCTCAACTTGATGTCGAGATCGTGGATCTTTACCGTCACCTTGTCCACTTTGACAAAGTGCTGACGGTCCTCCTTATGGGCCGTGGAGGCCGCGATCTTGAAACCAAAGCCCTCGTTACCGAGGAAGATGTCCATGACACCCTTGTCTGTGATTGAAGGGAATCCTTGCTTCTTCTTGATATAGTAACTGACATCTAGCAAGGAGTTAGTAAAACATAAATCCATAAAACCGTCATGTTTTGACATTGAACCTACCTCTTAGGTCGGCTTGAATACCCGATGCGGAGATCATGATCTGAGCAGGGAATTAGTTTAAGCAACGGACATAACTGCATAACGCGTGACGAACCTTGTTGTCTCTCTTGTTACTGATGCTCTTCCGACCCCAGCGGAAATAATTATCACTACCAAATTCCACGACATTCGGCATCAGATTGTCACTCTCGATGACGAGATTCTCAACAACCTGTGAACATTGCAATGTTAGTCACATGGAACTCTCAAGACAGATTCTTGAAGCAGACTCACCACGTCGGCCATCGGATCGGACACCTCAATGCGAGGCACAGGGACATAGCGAACGTTCTCAAAGACCGAAGGCAAGATGACATCTCTGATATCCTTAAGCAGGTGCTTCTTGAAAGCAACATTGCCACTAGCGTCTCGACCAAGGTCATTGAAGAGTTTCTCCAAAGCTGAGCGGAATGCTCGATTCTGAGGGTCTTGATTGAACTGATCGCCTAGGAATCTAATCTCATCAAGGATCCGATCGGTATGGTCCTTGTAGCGGTCGCGCAACAGGTAACGACCGTGATCGTACAATCGGTCCCATTCACGGTCGCAGTCCTCCTGCATGATGTAGCCTTGTTCCTGCAATGCTTTCCTGCTCGAGTCAGAGCTATCCGTATAGGTCCACCTTGGCGGGCCGGACTTACCTGATGAAAGTGTCCATGTTCTTGAACCAGCCTCTAAGTTCCGGGTCCCTGTCTGCATCACGGTAGATTTTGTCGAGGGAATCGAAGAAATCATCCAAGGACGTGCTGTTTGCAAATCGTTCAATGAGAGTCTGGCAAGAATATTAGCTTCGCCGTCAGCGCTATTCTTCTGGTCACTCACCTTGAGATTGGCTTCCATCGATCTGACTTTCTCATTGCCACGAAATTCCTTTGTGGTTCCAGCACCTTGTTGGGAAATGTCTCTGCCGTGGCGACCGTACTTCTCAGCGAGAGAAAGGAGCGTGCCAACAGCTTGCTGGTCTATTGTAGGCCGCAACGTTAGCGTCTATCCAAGGCTTCTGATCTCCGAATTGAACTTACAATCAGGATGACCCTGGATTTCAATAACCATCTTCTTCAATCGCCAGATAACTTGCTCGCGTCTCTCCTTAGGCATTTTCTGCTCCATGTAGCTACGAGTCCGCTCCTTGAGCTCCTGGGCCCGACTCTTCGCTTCTTCAGAGACATCCTCTGGGACCTTCTCTTTGGCCTTCTGGGCTGCCGAACTGACGCCAGCCTGGGCATCGACATCCTTGGCAGTGGCAGGATCCTGGCCACCTGTTGCAGATTGTGTTGCAGTGTTTGCTACATCACCAGCTTCCTCCTATGAGAGAAGTGAGCATGCGAGCACATAAGCTGTCAGAAGAGGGTCCTACCTTGCTTTTCTGAACGCGAGACTTGAGCTGGTTCTTGGGGATATCAGGCTTCTCGTGCCAGACATTCTCCTCAGCGGGTTGGTCGACTTGGGACAGCTGCTCTTGTGAAGGTCGAACCCTGTCGGCAGCTTGCTGCGAGATATCACCAGCCATGTCACGAGCAATGATCATAGCATCGTTCACTGTGAAGCGTCAGTACGCTACTTACCTCGGCACTGACTTCCAAATGAGTCCACTTACAGAGCTTTCTGAACTCCCCGTTTGTGATCAGGAGAGTACCCAGGGTTTTTAATCCTTCCATAGCCTTGTCGACGTCCTGCTGGGCTGATTCTTTGCTCACTGGAACATTTGGCTGTATCGGCGCTTCGCTAATCTTTTGAGCTTCCCAGATAAAGTCTTGCAATAACTGGCCCTCATTCTTGCTAAGAAAGAGTTTCTTAGCTTCATCAATGACCACCCGGAGATCCTTAACCAGGGTCTGGCCCTCGCTGGACAGTTCTTTAGAAGGCGACGACAGGGCCTTGGAGGTAATGGCACTGTTCAAGGCGACATCACATTGTTTGTTCTATAGACACTTTATCAGTATTATGCACGACATACGCGCCTTTACGCATTTTGCGAGGATGATCCGTGGACTAACCGATGGAAGCTTGCCGTTTTTGAAAGCTGTATGGTCCGTCAATTAGCCTGAAATAATTGCTGAAGGATAGGTGCTCCAATCTTACCTTGATAGATTCCGAACAACTGCAGCTTCTGGTTGATGTCCTGGAGCAATATCACTGTCAGAGCACTTCTTTGGAAGTGTAGGGTTGCATTGGTATGCGTACCTTTTCCTTTTGCTTAGGGTCCATAGGACGATTGACAGTTCTAGACGGCATGGTGAGGTTTGTTCGCACCGCTAATGGACGGCTTGCGACCAGCAATGACAATCAGATAATGTTGAGATAGAAATTATGGCTGCCACAGAGACCTCGATGGTCACTCGAGAAAGGGATAGATAAGCTCCGCTAAGACTTTTTTTGGGGGAAGGAAAGAGACGAATAACAGACAGATAGAATCAAGTGAACTAGAAGAGAAACAGATAACGAAGATCGCGTCACAGGGGTATCACCGGAATGGAAGACGCGAAGGGCGAGAGGAATGTGTGTTCAGTTGAGGTATGAAGATCAGTGATGAGGAAGACAGGACAGTTATGGATCAAGAGTGATTGAGGCCAAAAGTGTTTGGAGTGGGTGGATTGTGGTGACCTATTTAAATAGTTTCTAGACTACTGATATCAGATCAAGGGGGAAAAGGAAGATGAGAGAAAAGTTGTTCGTGGGTGACATCGATTATGACCGTTATTGATAGGGGGTGCAACCCTTCCCTGGATACTTGACGTCACTGTGTCGTGTGTTATCTGTTTGCGCTGAGGGTTAAAGCTACTAAGGTAGGGAGTACCTGAGGTGGCCGGGTAGAGGAGCGACTACCTAGGTACCCTAGGTACCTTACTCTTTGCTTCTGGTTGGGTTCCTGAGCATGAACGATACGTAAGAGAGGACCTGTCTGTAAGCATTGTTCTTTTCTTGTCTTGGAATTTGGTTCAGCATGTGCATATGAGTTCCGACGAATATGAGCTCATACATGATCTTGGCTGAAGATAATCAGTCAATCAATGGGACGAGGCAACTAAACTAAAGGGGCCAAGAGTTCATCTGTACTAGGTGATGAACAAGGACTAGCTATCGCCTGCTCGATAAAGTTCAGAGAATGACGAAAAGCTTGAGCTCTACCTAGCTAGCCTTTGAGTCTTGACGATTCATCTTATGTTCACACAAGGAAATGCACATGGTAGAGCCAAAGTCAATCAATGCTGATCCCCCATCTGCATCAGCCCACGGGTTACAGCCCACAAGGCAGAAACAAAAACCGAAGCCCCTGCGCTCTTGTTGGCTCGATTTCTTCTACGGAGCAGGGACTTGGCGTAGGGCGTACCCACTTGGTAGTTTGTCCCAGTAACCTTGAATCCAGAAGGCTTGGCACTGAGCATCGTTTTTCGTGGCCACAAAGCATGAATTATCTAGTGTAGAGTTTTGAGGTTGGCAAAGAGAGTAAGTTCGCAGCGAGCAATGTGAAATCATAGCTCCATAAGACGGGCTACGTGGTCTATTTGCCATCCCGAGCAGGTTTCGATGCGCTGGGAATCGTTCCCGCTATGACTTGGACAAGGTCCAGACAAAGTTGTACTGGAGCTTTTTGTGGATCATCAGTCTGACGTCAGGAGTCGATCTTCCCACCACTTCAGCAGTCCAGAGTCCAGTCTACAGACGCTGTATACGAGGCACCTCTGGCAACTCTGGCACCACTTATTCAGCCCAATACTATGGCCAATTGCAGGTATTTCTTCCGCCGAGTTTCCTGGATAAAGAAAGTGGGGACGGGAAAGCAGCTGTAAGTACCATATAGGAGAGATCGCAATTAATTATATGCGCACCAAATAGAAAAGATAGCGGTTGAATGTTCCACTTCGTCCCATATGGAATGGTTGTTGAGACAGTCTAGCTATCGTCTCAAGGTCGTGCATTTCGATGCCTACATATTTACAGACTCCCAAAATAGGCGCATTTCTGCAGCTTAGAGTAGATGAGCACAGGTTAACTCGCACTCAGCTGCTACCATGTTTGTCCTCGACAGCCTTCTCTGGAGGACGACAAGAAGTACCTCAATGGGTAGGATCATTCATTTAGCGGACTAATATCCAGCTCTTCGATTCGTTCATAGACCATAATGGCCAAGATCATAACCAGGATATCCACCACCCGGAGATGGGTGCAAGGGTGGTCCGGCCACATAATGCCCTGCACCTGGAATGTAAATCGCGGGTGACTGCATGAGCCGTTTTCGAGCAGACGCTGAAACTGTCTGGAATGCGTCAAGAAGAGTTGCGATTCCCCATTTTCTAAGGCAGTACTGGAGGAGATCCTGGGTATAATCCAGGCATACGATCGCTCGTGCGTGACAGTTCACGCGGTCCTTATTGTTGATCATGGGTGGTTCTGGTGTCTCAAAAGGGATGCTGGGAGGCGGTGGCACCGAGGGGTTCAGGACAAGTTCTGAATGTCGGTCCAAGAGGTCGAGAAACCAGCTACTGACCTGGTATGCTCGCTGAATGTCAAGATATGTCATCAATGGCACTAAGCTCGGGGTTTCCAAAATCTGGTGAAGTTTTCGGATGTAATCCATGCAACGCTCGAACAACAGAACCTTCGAATAGTCGGATGTCCCGACAAATCGATGCATGGGCGACAGAATGATGACAGTCGTGTAAAGCGACTCCAGTGCATATAAAATAGTGAAAGGCCCTGCAGTGTTCTGAGGAGCATTCTCGAGCCATTCCTGGGCTTTGTAGCACAGGCTCCAGGTGGAGGTCGCATTTGGGAGGGATGCCTCATTTTCGTATTCGTACTTATTATGATAAGCAGTGGACAGTATTTGCCGAATTTTGACCATATGCCAAGCAGGTTGCGCACTGTGCAAAAAGACATCGCTCGCATCTGCTACAGCAAAGCCAGGTGCTGTGGTAACTGACGGTAGAGCGACATTGACAGACCCATCAGAGAAGGAGAGTGCTCTCTCCAACGCGGTGCTTACACCCCTATTCTCAACCAAATCAGTGAAATTGAGGTTGTATCAGAATGATCTAGAGGCACAAACCTATCCAAGCAGTAGACGCAATGATAGACAATCCGGCGAATATCTAAACGATCAGGAGTAGACAATACTTCCAAAGGAGGGTCTTGATGCAAGCCAAGATCAACCATTGCTCGGACGGCCGTGCCTACAAGATACCAACTGCGAAAGTGGTTAGGATCAAAGAAGGAATACTGGGCAAGCAACAGTATCCCCTGAATGCCAGCCACGGATCCTGGGCGAAGAACTTCTTCGGCGTATTTCAGCGCCCCAGAAATCAAAGATAATGCCCTTTGATGATCTCCGTCGCCAGGCTGATACGACGTCGACGCAGACGAGATGGCTAAAACAAGGCGTAATATCCAATGATCAAATGGCTTGGCGAAACGACCACCGGACTGATATACGGCATCGACAGACGTCCAAAAACTGGTCTCGACGAAGAAAGGCAGCTGTGTGTATAGGTTGTCAAAATAATGACGCAAAAGGGGTGTTATTTCATGGCGTGAGGGTAATAACTGCGATGATAATTTCGGCAGCGGCTCGGCAATTGCCAGTGATAGTAGAAGATTGGCGAAAGACGTGCTCGAAGTAATACCGTGGAAATCTCGTGAGGTGGCATTGACGGACCTAGAACGGCTGGTCAGCAGCGAAACAATGAGGGCAATTGAAGATGAACGGACAAAAAGCCGAAATCTCCAACGAGGTCGTCAATGTCGGAAACCTCTTTGCGATGTGATTGAGCGATACAATCCGGCGATGAACCTGTAGTGATAGAGCTTTCCCGGACAGGTCCTATTTCATCCGTTGATGAAGATTCCCTGCGATACCGCAGGCTCGCAATCTGTTTTTCAAGTCGCTCACAGTAGCCTTCCAAGGACGCTACATAACTTCTCTCTTTTCCTCTGGCAAACTCGTCACTGGCACCAGAGCAGGTGCTCGCTTTCCCTACTCTTTCGCACGCGGAGCAGGCAGGAAGTTTTCCATCGCATTTTATTTTCGCTGTTCGGCATCTCGAGCAGGCGGCAACCGGCCGACTAACTTTGAGAAGTGGTTTGTCTAGAAATGAGTTTGCCGACATTCTAACATAGTATTACCTGGTCTGCATGTCAGAAGACTGGGAAACAGATTGCAATAGAGTATGACGCGTCTGAAAACACCAGGCGCATACCGAATGGCGGACGGACAATGGCTAAGATTCATGTGAAATGCGCGCAGCATGTCAGATATAAGAACGGTGGCTGAAATGTGGTCTGCCGAAGCAATCAGAAGTCTTGCGAGCGAAGAGCGCGACCGAAAGAAGATCAAAATAGATTCAGCTACTACCTTAATGACTTTGGGAACAAGGAATTCAAAAGAGATGGCAGAAGTACCTCGGGATCGATTATTAGTTGCTTTGACAGACTGCTCTTATCAGAACATTGGGCTCCTGTGGATCTCGTTTGCTTTTTGTGACGGTGTACTTTTGTAGTAGTATCGAGAGACCCAGCAGAGGATAATACCGATGTCAATGTCAAGAATAGCCGACTACCATATCCTGTAAAAATATTAGTGATATTTACGAAAAAATAACGAGGTCATCAATGGAGGAAGTAAGTAGCGGATTTGCTCCGCGTCGAAGTCACCAATTGGGGTACCTTGAGGAGATAGAAAGGGATAGGTTTAGGCAAGGCAAAGCGGTAGAAGGGTTTACCTTGATCAAAAAGTGGAAGTACGTAATTGAAGGCGACCAGACAAGTTCATGCCACCAACTGGGTCAGCCTGCAGTGGTGTGCAACCAACAAAGCAGCATGACCGTTATGCCGCGGGTAAGGCAGTAGTAGTGTGAGCAGTAGATACGTCGTTGTAGATAGTGGAAATAGGAGAAATCAGCATCGGCTGATCTTCTTCCTAGACTGATTTGGCTCTTCCTCTTCCGTTGGGTTCCCTTTTTTTCCCCACCACTTAAGAACAACCCCACCTTCCGTTCTCCGTACCCTCTCCACCATGCCCAGCAGCTTATCTCTTCGGCAATGGAGTACTCTATCTCTGTGCCGGTAGTCGAATACAAGCGTAACTGTCCTAATTTCCCTTCCATGAATACTACAGGCGCCTCGGAGATGATGATGAAACTTGATTGGGAGGCTTCCTCCTGAGCTTCAAATGCATGCTACAGGCCAACGCATACACATCTCCTCCGCCAACCATCTTCTTCCGGACAAGGAGACAA